CGTATCTCCCCACGGGGCGACGAGGATGCGGTGCACTGTAGGGGGGTGCGCGAGGCGATGGTCGAAACCGCCACGACGATCACCGTGTTTTTATCTGCCGCTGTCTCGCAGGGTTCTTTGCGCATGTGCGCTCGAGCGACGCGTGGTTTTGCCACTGCCACGGGGCGTCGGACAGGCGATGGAGGGGGGCCAAGGACAAGCGGTGAGTGGCTGTGACAGGGAAGGGGGCGGGAAGACGACTTATCGCCACTCCCGGGTGGCAGTACCGATAGAGGCGCGGGCTTGCGGCCAGAGAATGCGAGGTCACGGTCATCCCGAATGGGTGGCTGCTTGGCACCCATCCTTGACGTGCCTGGAGGGTTCAGTTGATATCCCACTGCGTTGGCTCCAAAGTCGTGAAGCGTGAAAACCGGCTGCAGAAAGGGTTTGGGGAGTGGCTGTTGGGTGTGCAGGCCATGACAAAGGCTATGGGATCGACAATCGGCGAGGGGGGCCAGCTTGCAATGATTTACAACTGGCCTCCCTTCAGGTCCGTGTCTCGATTGTTTGGATTTGCAGTAGAAACCACATGCACTTGGGGTGATTGGATCGCATTTCATGCAGTAGCGTGGCAGGAATTGGGACGTGCAGAGCCATTCTGGGGTTGCTGCAGATGATATGAACGGTTGGCTCTTCAATTTGCTTGTCAATGAAACAACTAGTTCGCACCAGTTTCTAGTGGCGACAGGATAGTCTGTGCAGTCATCGCATACCATGTACGGGCTGGTCCAGCATGGACAGTCAGACTCCACCTGTAGAAAACAGCCTGTTTGCAAACCAGTTGCCATGTCATTTGACACAAATCGATGCCAACGCAGCCACTTTATCCCATTGCAATCACTGTGACGGCATCACTTTGTGTCAAATGGCGTCGCAGTTGGCATCGCAAACGTGCCATTTTCTGCCAGTGCTCGTCAGTGTCTGTGTTGCCATGCACGCAACACTACCTACTGGTTATTCTATTTGCACTCTGATGCAACATCAGTTCCACTTTCAGAATGGCAAACCTGCAAGGGTGTGCACACGTTGCATTTTCATGAAGTTCTAGGCATGTATTCATTTGCTGCACAAGGAAGAGATGCTGGTTGCTGCACCTGAATCATGGATGGGAAATGACAGCTTCAATCTTGCATTGTTGGCAGAAGGGATGCAGCTTGCTGCAAGGGTTACATTACAACCACCACATGCTGTCCTTCCTCCACCAGCAGCTGGAGAGAGTGAAAGGCTTGGAGCAACCATCCAGCGCAACATCAAAAGAATGGCAGGCCTTTTGCACCAGGGTCAACAAGGGACACAGGCTTTTGGCCAAGCATTCTGAGCAATTTGACATCAGAACATTCTACAGGATTGAGGATGTTCGCAGTGCTGTTGATGAAATCTGCCAGTATCTACGGGCGCAGGTGCAAGAATGGCAGTTGCAGTGTGCAGCAGAGCTTGAAGATGCCCTGCCCTATGACTACATCGAGGAAGACAGGGAGTACTTGCACAAACTGCTTTCATATATACTCAAGGGCAAGGAGAGTGGCGTCAAAGATGAGCTGCTCCATCGATGGCTGCCCATCCAGCGTGCTCATGAAGCTGAGCTGAAATTTCTACGCATCATCCCTCAAGATGCTCTTGTGATGAAGAATCGCATTGGTACAGGTGGATATGGTCTTGTATATGAGGCACAGTGGAACTTTTCTAGAGTGGCTGTAAAGATGCCACTCACCGAAGGTGACTTGCCCATTGAAGAGTTTGCAAGCTTTGTCAAGGAAGTTGTTGTGCATGCAAAGCTGAGCCACCCCCACATTGTCCAGTTGCATGCAACAACCCCATCTGGCTGGTTGGTGATGGAAATGGCTGATACAGATCTGGGGGCTTTGTGTCGAGGCTTGAGGAAGATTGGCTGGGCAGGAACACTCAACCTTCTCCAGCAGGCTTCAGAAGCGCTGTGCTTTCTGCACAGCCTTTCTCCGCCTATTGTGCATTCGGATGTTAAAAGCTCAAATTTTCTCCTATTTGGGACTGACCCATGCAATTGCAAAGTGAAGATTGCAGATTTTGGGCTTGCATTTGAAGCAGTCAAAGGAAGGAGCAAGACAACAAGGCTGGGAGGAGGGACACTTGAGTGGATGGCGCCCGAAATTTTCCATGGGCAGCCTGTCTCCACTGCATCTGACGTCTTTGGCTTCGGAGTCGTCATATATGAAACAGTAACAAGAACACATCCGTATGGAGCAAACAAACTGATGCTGGCTGATGCCAAGAGAGCATTTGTGATGAACAAGAAGCTGTCTGGTGAAGAGCCATGCACAGTACAACCTGGGGATTGTCCTGAAGAAATGCGGCTGCTCATGAAGCGCTGCTGCTCCACCAATCCTGCAAAGCGGCCAACGATGATGGAAATCACCCAATACCTGCAAAACTTGCCAACAGACTGGACTCCTTCTCATCAGCCACTGAGTATGGTGAGTTGTAGCTAGACATGGTATTTTTTATTGTGCAGTTGCTTGGTGTGTTGCTAAGAACTTGCTGCTTATCATACCACAATCTTCTATTTGTGGGAAAATGATTGAAATACGGGTGCAAGTGTTGCTGATGGTTTTAGTAAGGTGATGGCCACCAGAGCAGTACACTGATCAAATATCTCAAACTGTTTGATTTGTGCAACCTGCAAATTTTCATAGGTTTTTATTTTGATGTGTATGCTCAAATTAACGCTGCACCTGATGAATGTGCACCATGTGCACCTGTGCGGGGCAATACCGCAGTGGAGATTGACCTATCCATGTCTCAGAACAACACAGCGGAACCCGGGGGGGCTGTTGGCAGCCAGGCAAGTGACCTTGTGCAGGTTTCTCTGGCGCACAAATGGATCTCAATCACTCAACCAACATAAGTTTGGTAGCTGGGTGTGGACGTCAAACTGCAAAGTTGTGGCAACGTAGTCAATGGCAAGTTTGAATGCACAGAATATTCTGAATCATGAAATGTTCCAATTGGCATGATTCCCTTGCCACTATTTTGCCCTTATCAACATTGCCTGAACGGGTTGTGGCTTGGCATTTCTGTGCTCTGAGGCGGCAATGGCTGCTGTTGGACACTGTTGTTGTTGGGATGCCAACGGTACTGAGCATGGGTCCAGGGAATTGTGCAACAAAGGCCATCAAATTTGCTTGTTTTAGTGAAACAAAAGTCATAACTTAATGAAATCAGTTTCTCAGTATACTCTGGTCATCTAAAAGTAATTGTTGTTGGTGTTCATCAGGAGGCAAAAGATGAAGAGATGCGCATGCCACATAACCCTGGCATCAAACGAAAGGTGCATTGGTGGTGATGGGAATCTTGAAATGAAATGCCTGCGATTTGCATGCATGCTGAAGTATGGCACAGCGCTGCATTGCACTGACAACATCCGTGTGCGGTATTGAATTGATTTTTTACATTTTGTGCAAAGCAAAATAGCGTCAAGTCACATGTTGCATCAAGTCAAAAGTGTATGAAACACAATTTTACAACCAGGAATGCCTTGCCTGTCAAATGCTGTTCAGCAAAGAAGAGGGATGCAATTGCAGCTTGTTAGCCGTCCTGAAGGGCAATGAGCACTGAGTGCCAGATTTGTTGATTCTTGTATGGATGTGCTCACTGGTTCATGGCAGACAGGTCCCTTGCATCATTGCTTTGAGCTGTGTCCAGTGATTTTATTATCAAAATATAATATGAAATTCCATCGATTGCAACTGTTGAATCCCATTGTTAAGCATTGCATCTTTGTGGTGGACACAAGCAAATTCAATTATTGTTTGCTCACCTGCTGAGCACGCAGAAGTGTGGGATCAGCTAGAATGATGCACTTTTGTGTCTCTTATGCAACCTTGTGCTGAGAAGGATTTGCGAATGCAATGCTGGCACTGGCTGCCTGGCAGCATTGCAGGCAAAATGTGATTGTTCCTGGACAGGATCTGTAATTGTTATTTGATGGTAGTTATTCCATAGCAGCAGTACCCAGAATTTGCACCTTATGATTGATGATGGACGTGATTGGATGCCTTGTGATGGTTCTGAATGCTGAGCTGTGTCCATGTGCATCAGAGCACATTTTTCCAGATTAAGAAACATCTGGCATCAATTGCCACCAGCAAGTGGCACCAACCCAGTGCAAAGTTGTGTTGGCAGCAATTAATAGCCATCTTGTGTTGGCCTTGGTATGTGTCTTAATGCTGCTATGTATATGTACATGTGTATAAGTATGGGCATGTGTATGTATACATGTATCTATACATCCATGTGTGCATTTGTGTGCACACATTTAATCTGATGATGATGGGGATGCACCCACAATCCCAAATAATGCCTGGCACAATGTGTGCATTTGTGGACCCCCTGAATGATAAAATTTTCAAGTGAACATTGATGCCTTGAGGAGAGCTTTAAAGAAAATCTGCATTCTTATTGGGATACTTACTTACATTATTTACTGAAGTACATGGAATGGCAACTTCCAGAACATGGCTCTGTGTCTCAGCTCAGTCCAACAACTCTACAAATGAACATTGCAAAGTCATGTTAGGAGAACAGGGTGACTCTCAAATGCACTTCATGGACTGTCTGTAGTATCTCCAGCAGTGACTAGTGGTGATGGTTTCTGCAACACTTTTTGCAATGCCCTGTATGGTGTTGTAAGCAGTGTTTGGCTTTCTGTGACGGCATGCACAGCATTGTCAACATGGTGGTTGGGATGATTGCAAGAAAGATATATCTCGCGGTCTGAACACACAAGCCTGGGGGTGGGTGGTGGGGGGGTTGTGGTGGGGGGTGGGTGGGTAAGTATTTGTTGGGAGGATGTCCACCTCATGTTGGTACGACCCTGCTGTGCATGCCTCTGTAAATGCAGTCGGAAATGAATCTGGAATGTATTGCCACACTTGAATGTGAAAATGCTGCAAACAGCACAAATCTCCTGAGCTGCAATTCTCTCCATGCTTGCACCAGGGCATATGGCAGTTGAATGCGATCAGGTTGATGGTTTTTATTCTTGCATTTTGATGCGCTATTGTGAGTATTGCAGAGACTCCTCATTGAAATTTAGCTGGGCTCACAGTATGGATGCATTTATGGGCAATTTTTGCTTTGCTCATGCGAAGATCGACTCCAGCAACGTTCAAGAAGCGGAAAGGAAGCCTCCAGGAATGTTAGATCAAGTGAAGGACCAACTTCAAGTCCTCTCGCTGCAATCACTGGGATCAATGGAAGCACCAGATGATGCAATGGAAGCCATTGCAGAAGGCGAGGTATGGACAGGCACATTATTACGATTGTCAGCATTCATGGAATCTGAACAGCAAAATGGTTCGGATTTGTTAAATGTTTTGAGTCTGGCATCATTGCTGCTGGAATTAAATGCAGAGAGCAATGCAATCTGTAGCACAGTTGCTTGTTGTTGATTGTATCCGTGGAAAACATCCAACATTGGATTTTGCAGGAAAAGGGTCTTCCTGCCTAACTCGTGTATCTGGTGAGTTTTTATGCACATAACATTGTGTCGATGGGGTGCATGATAGCTGCATATGCTGGCATGCTTGCAATTGTTGACAGGCATCCACAAAGGAAATCTCAGACTATTGCAGGATTTGGTTGCACATCAGAGGCCCTTCTTGATATTTAATTAGACAACCGTCACCAAGCCAAGGAATCCATCTTGCATTTTTGCTTGAGAATGCTCTCAAGGAAGTGCTTGAAAGCTGTTTCTGCTTTTCAGTGGTGGTAGCAACAATAGTAGATGCCCATCTCTGAATTTGTCTTCCAAATTTCATTAAACATTGGTTCATGTCTCTCATCTTGCTTGCACCCAAGGGTACTTCTGACCTCCAGCCTAGGTCAGAGGCTGACACTTCATGGGCAAAAGGGCTGCAGATGTCAGCACAAGAATCTCCTGGACAGGTGTGCTGGTGCACCAGATGCAGCGTTCCATTTGATAGTGTCATTTTCACATGAAACAGTTGAAGCATTTCACTGTTCTTGTGCTGAGGCTTATCTTTCTCATGCCATCGTCTGATAATAGTAAATGCCAACTGCCATTTTGTTGATGTTGCCCTTTTGCTTCTCATGTTCATGCTGTATTACATCATGTATGCTTGTTCTATTAGAATGCTGTATTACATCATGTATGCTTGTTCTATTAGAATGCTGTATTACATCATGTATGCTTGTTCTATTATTCTGAATTTAGTAAATTCAGAACAAATTATTGATATGATTGATATGATTGATATTGATATAGCTCATGATTGATATGTTTTTTAATTTACAATTTATATCTGATTCTAATTCCCCCTCCTCCTCATTTCATGTCTATTGTACAGTTCGTCCATCACAGCTTGGCTGGCATGAAACATTGTGCAGTGTTTCTATTGTGTGCATCGCTCAAGTACTGAGCCAACGGCACATTTGCAACGTGTACAATTTATACATTGAACGTTCCAATGAATTCATTTACGTATTTCGAAATGAAATGCACTATAAACTGTGCAATTGGTTTAGGTTTCAACTAGAGATGACACTGCCGTTTGACTTTCCGCGACCTGTGTGGTACAACAGGAAGTGCATGGCCACAGTGGGCAAACATCCAAAGATCCGGATTGGCGATGCGAGCACATCCTTGAGGGGCACAAGGACACAGTGTGGTCGCTAGTGGTGACTAAAGATTGGCTGGTGTCTGGATCCGGTGACAGAAAAATTCGTGTGTGGAGATTGGGGCGTTGGGAGTCCACCCAGTCAGTGTTCGAGGGGCATACGGGTTGTGTGTGGTCACTGGCAGCCAATGGCGAATACCTTTTCTCTGGGTCTTATGATAATACTGTGAGGGTGTGGAAGCTGGGGACCACCTGGGAGTGCGTGCGCATTCTGGAAGGGCACACCAAATCGGTGCGGACACTGGCAGCGACAAGGTACCATTTATTCTCTGGTTCTTGTGACAAGAGCATCCGCATGTGGCGTGTCGGCACGTGGAGCTGCGAGCGCGTGCTTCAGGGGCACACCAGTTACGTGACCTCATTGGCCGTCAACGACCGCTTCTTATTCTCCAGCTCTGATGACCAGACCATCAGAATATGGAGGCGGGGGGATGGGGAGTGCTTGCGAGTGCTTCACTCCGGTTGGGTGTGGTCTTTGGCGGTCAGCGGCGACTTTTTGATTTTGGGGGGAGATTTCAGTGGAGTCATTGGCATTTGGAGCCTTGCCACTTGGGATTGGGTCAGACAGCTGAGCGGGCACACTGGTTGGGTGCGGTCATTGGCAGTCGGGGCCGGTTTGTTGTTTTCGGGTTCAGACGACAAGACCGTTCGGGTGTGGAGGCTCGGCACTTGGGAATGCATCCGAGTCCTCGAAGGGCACAGTGGTTACGTGATGGCGGTGGCGGTAATGGGCGAACGCATTTTTTCTGGATCTTGGGACAAAACCGTTCGAGTGTGGGACAGAGTGGCGTGAGGACGCGACTTCAGGACTGCTATATTTGAATTGTTTTTTATTTGGGCACTCATTCGTTTTATGTTCGTATATGCTTGTTGAACAAGCGCGTACATTGGAGTAGCAATATAATGAACTGAACGACAACATAATCCAATGTGAATAGAATCGTCGAACACACAAATCCTTATGAAAACCAAATGCAGCCAGCTTTTCAACCAATAAATGATTCTGTTTTGGGTGAAAGTCTTTCTTGTCGGATGGTAAGTTGTTGGCTGCACCAACCTACACTGTCTGCCTTTCCACAGACAACTTGATCTCGTAATGGAATTGCAGGGCGATCGATCATTGCTTTGACTCGCTGAGTCCTTTGCACGATATCGTTGCTTTGACTCGCTGTATACATACATGGTAGCAACCACCACACACCACGAAAACAAACTTAGCAGATAGCACGCAGTCGGCAAGGCAGACATGTGGCCAAGGCAACAGCCCCAAAACACACGCAGCGCAGCACCACAACAAGCCATGCAAGCAGAGGCCCGTCGACGCTCCAACCATATGCGCATATTGCTATATTGAGCACGCCCATCCGCGATGCCCGATCTCACAAAACCACCGCTAGCCACAGCTACAAATCGAAACCTAACCAGAGCAACAAGAACGCTTCAACACGCTCACAGACCCCGCCTCTCTCCCCTCCCATTTCTTCAAAATACTACATTTCTTCTGCTCCCTTCCGATGCTGATGAGCGCTACTGCCAAGACGATCGCTGCTTTCGAGCACCGAAGGCATTGCCATCAATCCGGTCCGTGGAAGCGAAAGATGGCACTGCCCATCTTTGTTAGACAAACAACGATCTTCTAATACTCAGCTGTCGCCCCGGCCTCACTCGAATCGCTGGAATCTGGAGAGGCCATCACGCTCATTGTACTGCAGGCGCAGATGCGTCCCTTGAGAGAGAATTCAGCTCGGGCAGAACCAGTAGACGGGACAATCAACCCAATCAGAGAAAGATAATTTCAAACAACGTCACCATTGCTTCATGCAGACAACGAAAGCGAGGCTGTCATGGGTCAATCGCTGGGACGTAGTCTACACATTCCAAAGCCGGTGTATGCAGTACGGTAAAACGTCCCTATCGACCGTGCTATTATTACTTGCAGAATCAGGGACTCGCGATACAGCTCAAAACATGATCGAATCTCGTGAATCCCAGATATTCTGTATGCCTCCCTGCGTTTCGAAACCAGTGGCAGTGCCACGTGGTTCAGTGAAAACGATCGTAAGCGATAATTGTTACGTACGGTGTCAACAGAGCACGGTTCTTTCCACAGAGCGTATACGGCGTGACACCTGCCGCGTGGGTCATCGAGCCTTCGTGTTGCCATGAAACAACAGCAAAGCATATCTGCGGCCATAATGCTGCAATACATGCTAATTTTGGCATGCAAAGCTGAAGAATGGATTTGTCTATCGTACATACATACTTGCTGACTTTTTAATGTAATTTGAACCTGCGTAGTTATTTACATGTAGTCATTTATCGCGTCCACGCTGCTGATTAAATAATGGCGAAAGTTATGATTCACATAACTCTACGCTAAACATCCGTTATGTGCACGAATGGGTGCAAGGTGGACGCATAGACAAATGCGTACGGACAATCAACCCAATCAGAGAAAGATAACTTCAAACAATGTCGTCTTTGCCTCATGCATGCAACGAAGCGAGGTTGTCATGGGCCAATCGCTGGAACGTAGCCTACACAACTCAAAAGCCGGTGTATACAGTACAGCGAGACGTTTCTATCAATCATGCTATCACTACTTGCAGAATTTGGGACTTGCGTCACAGCTGATAAAATGATCGAACCTCGTGAATCCAAATCATTCTACATGATTCCTTGCGCTTCGAAACCAATGACAGTGCCAGGCGGTTCAGCGCAGACGGTCGTAAGCGATAATAGTTATGTACGGTGCCAGCAGAGCACGGTTCGTTCCACAGAGCGTATACGGCGTGACACCTGCCTCGTCTGTCATCGAGCGTTCATGTTGCCATGAAACAACAGCAAAGCATATCTGCGAACACAATGCTGTAATAAATGCTCATTTTGGCATGCAAAGCTGAAGAATGGATTTGTGCTACATACATACTTGCTGACCTGTAAATGTAATTTGGACCTACGTAGTTATTTACATGTAGCCATTTATCACGTCCACGCTGCTGATTAAATAATGGCGAAAATTATGATTCACAGAACCCTACGCTAAGCATCCGTTATTTGCACGAATGGGTGCGCGGTGGACAAATAGACAAATGCATACGGACAATCGACCCAATCAGAGAAAGATAACCTCAAAGCGATGTCGTCTTTGCCCCATGCAGGCAACGAAAGCGAGGCTGTCATGGGCCGATCGCTGGAACGTAGCCTACGGAACTCAGAAGCCGGTGTATACAGTACGGCGAGACGTTCCTATCAATCATGCTATTAGTACTTGCAGGATCAGGGACTTGCGTCACAGCTGATAAATTGATCAAACCTCGTGAATCCAAATCATTCTATATGATTCCTTGCGCTTCGAAACCAATGGCAGTGCCCCACGGTTCAGTGCAGACGGTCGTAAGCGATAATAGTTATGTACGGTGCCAACAGAGCACGGTTCGTTTCACACAGCGTAGCGCAGCATATCTCGCATATATTCAATACACAATAGTAGGAACTTTTCCTCAAAGTAGATAAATGTACAAATGCAATTAAATGACACAAATGCACAAGCACATGAGCACACAAGCAGAAGGAATGCATGATTTATCAATTAGTGATTCGGTTGAATTCTGCGCAAATAAGTGGAGAATGAATGCATATTGCAAATCCAATTATTTAGCTGACAACGAGTCATTTCTTTATTACTTGTTGGTTTATTCACCTACTCATCTGTCTGCTTATCCACTTATGTTTCCATCGATGCATGCATTGGTGTTCTATTTTTGTTAGCTCTTGCTTGGGTAGCTTTCCATATGCGCGTACCTGCCAATATTTTAACACGAAGGCAAGTTGTTTGCATGTCGTCATATTTGAGCACGAAAGCTAGCTGTGGCCTCCATCTCCATATCGTCCGAGTCCCACTTCAGTTCTCAGATCCGAAGGCGACTGGCTGACTGCCACCGGCGAACTAATCCTGTCCGTACTTCACCCACTCCTGTTTTTCATCCTCCTGCGTGCAAGCACGTAGAGATCCTGGAGAAATCTGTATAAACCAGCACGAATGTTGCCATCGCTGGAAGAAATCGAACCCGTATTTGATGAAAAATTGTGCCAGACACCAGCGATTGCAGGTTTCGCCGCAAATGCGTCAGCTTGATATAAGTAGCTGAAATATTTTTTAGCATTTTGCCAACGATTTTAAAGTTAAAGATTATGTGGATTACTCTATATGCTAATTCAATTGCGAAGTTTCTTGCTGCCACGATTGAAATCTTATAGGGTTGAAGAGATGAGCCCGAAATTGGGTCGTGGCAGTCATGGCGACAGCAATGTGCTTCATGTCTGCGTATTTCTCTATCTGCGCAGTGCAGTTTACTGATTGTTCTCTGTGCAGATACGTTTCGCCTTTCCCCACTTCTCCCTGTCAACATAAGCGCATATGCCAGATGGAGCATCGCGCTCTTAAATTCCAGCATCGAGAATTCGGGAACCATCTTTCTCCGGTGAATTGCGTCAGTGCATTGCGTACCTCCTGAATGCGCCGGTTCGACTGCATTTTAGGCTTCTGTTTTAGATCAGGAGGCTGAAACTCTGGGGAATACGGAACAGCAGATTTTAGACAACCACTGGAAGCGCGTTCACCCAGCGTGGCTTTGTGATAACAGGTGCAAATTCCAATTTGTCTCCCACCCACCTTGTGCCAGCCTCTCATTTTTCCGTTCGCCCTGATGCCTGCCCAGCCATCGCTTTGGGGTCACGAACTGCGCACCATCTCAGAACACAATGCGCCGTGTTCGAGAGCCGCAAAATCTCTGTCAAATGCAGGGATTCGCGCAATGAATCGGCGGCTTGCATTTTGCAAGCATTGGGCCGCCCCCGCAGTTCCCCCGGACTCAAGCCAGAAAGAAGGCGTCCGCTGGCGCAATCCAAGGTGGCCGCGGCCTGCGGCGCCACGGACAGAACGGCGATGAAGGGTCCAGAAATACAACACCGGGCGAGCGGCCGGCGCCAAGGCGAGGGCGTGCCGAGGGAGGGGCCCCTGCGCTCAGCGTGCGGCAGGAGCAATCCTAGAGCGTCTCGCGATTGCGAATCTGACCGGGCCTCCGGCGGCGCATCAGACTCGCCCCTCCACGTCCAGTAACGCGGCAGAATAGTGGCGTAGGGTCAGGGCGCCCGCTCCCGTGAACGGACAATAGCCAGGACAATAGCTGGCGCGAGTCGGATCATGGGACGATCGCGAGCAAGTCAGAAAAGCGGAGGCCCTCAGCCCTCGCCGTCGCTGCCCCCCTTAAGGCATTCTGAGATTGTGGCGTTCGCGGCGGGCAATAAGCGCGGCAGAATGGGCAGCACAGCACGGCATCGGGGGAGCAGCGAGTGCCTAAGAATTCTCGCGGCCTGGCTGAGATGCAGCGCGGCGCGGACTCGAGATAGTAAAGCAGGCGAAAGCGAAGAGGTCACCCAGTTCTCAGGCTTTGAGCACTCGCGGTCGCCTTACCGCAACCTTTCGGCGTTGGCAGTCGAGGCGGGCGATGGCAGTCGAGGCGGGCGATGGCAACCGAGGCTGGCGATGGCAACCGAGGCGGGCGATGGCAATCGAGGCGGGCGATGACAATAGAGGCGGGCGATGAACGCGGCAGGCTGCGTGCCGCTCAGCCCCACCCCGAGCAAGCACACCGGCCACACAGCACCGCCCGCGACGGCGAGCGGGCAGCTGTCCATATCGTTTCCAAGACCTGACGCCATCGCCTTTTCTCGCAGCTTCAAATACTGCGTGGGGGCGGTGCCAGCAACCCGTACGTTCGAATGCCAGCA